TGGATTTTGCGGGAGGACAACGCTCGGCCCGTAGCTTCCTAAGTAAACCTCGGTTACTTGGGAGAAAGTTCGTTAGGCGGGATCTGCCCTTCAAAATGATTAGGAGGATCCGAGGCATTGTGGGAGACCAGTGGCTGCAGCCCTAAAGCCATTCCAAGGACGGAGAAAGGAACCGGCTTCCGAGTGGAGCACAAGGGTTCCTACGCTTCCTAGATCGTGGTTCTCAGCCCAGTCTTAAATGCCAAAACCCTGAAGTAAGCCCCTAACAATTCTTATTTTACAGCAAGCTTCAATCGCTCTTGAGGATTATTAAAGCGATTCTAGATTTTGCCCATAGAGTACCCCGCTAATGACCTGAGCTTCGGTCCAGAAGCCATCGCCTAGGATCCAACGAAATCCATTCTCAGTGGTTTCTTTCAAGGGCTGCCTTCCTGTAAACGCTTACCTAAATATTAACCCCGGTATCTTCATCGCCGTTGACATTCTCGCCCTCTTATCAAAACGACCCATTCGAGTCAGCGGCGCTCCCTGCTGATAAAATGCCTCTCCAACAGGAATCTAGAATCTCCAGGTTGGCCCATCGCTCTAGGCCTTTATGTAGCTTGTGTCGTTTCTCCTGTGCATCAAATCCAGTTGTGGTTTGAAAACCATGGTGTATGACTTGGTTGGTGGAATTTGCGAGCCCAATCAATAAATCATGATTTATTCATAAAGCATTCAACAACCCAGTTTTTTAGATGGCACTCTTCCTTAATTATTTCTTGGTTGGCTAAGAACGCTGGTCAAGGTTGGCTTTTCCTCAGTGTTCCTTGCAGTTTTTCAGAGGTGGAAGTCCTGTCTTAAACTGAGTTAATTTTGTTTGTCCCTTTACTGAAATTCATGGGAAACATACTTAGGATCGGGGCAGGAGCAACCAGCTCTACAGTTCCGGACTCTGAATTTTTTAAAGGAATGTTTTAGAAAGTACTTAACTCTTACCTTGGCTTGTGAGACTGTGCAGTATTTACTAAAGGCAATGCCTTCCTCCGCACTTGGGGTTCCTTCGTACCCCAAGTGAACGAACTCTTTTGGGGCTTCATTGAACGATTGAAGTAACTCTGCAATCGGAATTTCTCTTCCAAAGAAATCCGTAGGAATAAATGGAAAGCAGCGCAGAAACTGTAACAGCTTTCAGGATGTGTGCAATGAAGGGGAGGGGGGAAGCAGTGGCAGAGAATTGCACCTTAAAGTGCACTCGCTCAGGGCAGCAAAAGCAATCTGGATGTTGATTTTATTCAGCTACACAAGCGGAGTTTTAAATGAGTTAAGGTTCCACACTAGTCTTATGAGTTTGTGCTGCACAGGCGCGCACACACAGCATCTATGCAGATCAAGCGGGGAACTTAAGCCTTGCTTAGAGCAGCCATCCAGGCAGTGAGATGTTACTGGAGTGGAACTAATAGCAAATTATAGCCATTCACTTTCTAAAGCAGTGGGAGACAGTGAAATAATACTCCTCAGCCTCTCCGAACTGCAGTTCGTAAAAACACCCGGGAAATCAGTGTGTGTGTGTGTGTGTGTTTCTGTGCTGTTTATAAGAACACTGTTGGGAACGGAGAAAGAGAAAGGGCTAGCTGATATGGAGTTCTGAGGTACCCAAAATTCTGGTTGGACTTCTGATACTTCACAAGAATTTGGGACTGAAATTGGACATAAGTCTTAAAATTAAGTTTAGACGTATTTGGAAGCAAACTTCACGTATTTGGAAGCAAACTTCATTAGTCCACAGGTATTTGGAAGCAAACTTCATTTATTCCAACCAGATTTATTTTTGAGTAAACATGCATAAATGGCTCCTCCCAAATTATTGAACTTGTTTTGTTGCCCTCAGTCTGACGGGATCAAGTCTGTTAATAACTTACTGCTTTGCATTTCCATTCAATCCATCATGGGGCAAGATGTTCATAGAATTAATAGTAGGTTTATGGGTGTGAACGTTTTAACTGAAATATAGGTTATTTATAAGGGTAAGAATTATGGGGAAATTTCCTTCTTCAACGAAGTTAGACTTTCCTACTTACCTGAAAGTAATTCTTACTGTATCCTGTTGGACTTATGGGTGACTGGACACACAAAATTGTATGACTCTTCAATTCGTTAGATTTAATAAAACCAGCTTTCAAAGAATGATGTTTTAATTTAGGCTATCTGTTTAAATGCGTCCATATATGTATATCCAGGCTTCAAGATACCATGTAAACCCCTGAACACATGCAATACAGTAATACATTTCTTACATTGTTCAACTATTAACTCCTAAATACAAGGGGAAATTTAATATCTAAATAAAAGTTTGGGAAGGTTTGGGAAAGGAGGTGGAATTTACAAAGGCTCTATTTTTATAATTAGGCTTTTAAAATGATGAAAAGCTCTAACTCCTTCAATTATACACAGTAGTCTGGGAAATTCAGAATGCTTTGAAAAAACTATTGGATTCTGGCTTGTTTTCCAGATGCAGCTGAATTTCTGGGAACATTTATGATCGATCCTTCAATTCTAATCTTACTATTTGAGAGTAAGGGCATAATTTCATTGAAATTAATCTTTTGCGTATGAAAACAATATAACTACAAGCTGTGTTTCTTTTCCTTCTTCAACTTCGGTAAAGCATCTGTTATCTTTAAAGCCATTTTCGTCTCTGTGCTTCCAAACGCCATTTCAATTCCCCTTCCAGGCATTCTGAATGCTTTAGAAGGCAAAACAAATTCCTTATGCCGCCTTATCCAAGTGAGCACATGTTAAAAGTGATGATCACAAACTCCTGTTAGCACATCCACTTCTTTTCAGTGATGTCCAAGTGACATCCAAGAATCCTGATTTTTATATTACCCATCCAAATAATATACTAAGATGCATTTACACAGCCACACTTACGCTTACATTATATTGCCTTTAAATACTTTTGCTCATGGAATTCTGTTTAGTTATCAGTGTCACGTTGGTCGGAAAGGGTACCTCGTTTCTCAGATCTAAATTTGTTTTCACTTTATTTTAGTGTCCTCGCTGACTTTTCATTCCGAGTTAGCAAATGAGCAGCCTTTCTGTTTTGTTTTTAAAATCAATAATCCCAAAATGAATTATAAGTTGCTGAAGAAGGGGAGAGGGAAGAGAGAGCGTCAGTTCCAACCTCATTGTTTCCTTTATTTCAAAGGAGAGGGGGGGAAAACCTGAACGATTCTCATTCCTTTGATTGATTAAGGTCTTGAATAACTTGAAGCCTGAGAGTGACAGTTACTGAATAGACTATTGCCCCCCAAAAAGGACCGCTGTGGAAAGCCGGGCTGGCACTTCAGAGTGTAAAGGAGGCGAGTTTGCTGGCACTTACCAAGTTATAAATAAAAGGACATGCACAATGGTACCTTCTTTAAAGACAGACAGTCTTTACAACACTCCTGGCGTCATATCCTGCTGTGGTCACTTCAGCTCCTAGTCAGTCTTTTCTTTTCTTTCTTTCTCTCTCTCTCTCTGTCTCTCTGTCTCTCTCTCTCTCTCTTAAAAAAAATCCTTTTTCCTCTCTCTCCCCCAGCAGTTTAGTTTCAATGCTACAATAAATTCCCGGGAATAAGCGCTTCTTAACGAAATTCAGCTTAATAAATACATATATCGTATCTTTGTATCTCTCCACCTCACGCAGAATTTCACAAATGAATTCAAAGGGATGCCTCCGTCTGTTCAGTTTTGAAAGCAGGAACGTCTCTTGGGGAGAGACGGAGATGCCTGTTTTCACCATTGGCTTGTGCCCGTCCCCACCCCTTCCACCCAGGAATTAAAAAAAAAAAACCTGACTAATTTTCTCCAATATAACTGCAGCTTAGAAAAGTTTTCAGAGAAACTGGGAAGGGCATCGAGGTAGGGTTGGGGAAAGGGGCGAGGGGTCGGAGAGAATTTTGGTGGACGTCAGACACACGCCCAGGGGAATCCAGTCGGGAGTGTGGAAGACAAAGAGACCTCTCAGGAGAAACGGCTGAAGTTTCTCTTTTAATTTCTCCAGGCTATCCCCGTACAGCTGCACATATATAACCTCACCGCAAAGACCGAATTGGTGGGGAGGGGGGCAGGGGGGGACTGGCAAAGAAAGTTTCTGAATCCAAGCAATCCAGAGGCTGGCTATTCCCCTATTGTCATTTTCTCCCCGATGGCATTGTGCCAAGAGAAGTTGTAAAAAAGACCCACCGACCAACGGATCGACGGCGGGGGGGGGGAATTAGACCGGTTCTCCGCTTACCCTCCTAGATTCCCTCCCCCTCCACTCGCCCAGCCATTTTTTCTGCAAAGAAGAAAAAGGGGGAAAAGAAAAGCACACTTTTATCAAGGAAAAGAGAGTCAAATCGCGGGTCGCACTCCAAAGCCGGAGCTCTTCAATTGTCAGGATGAGAAGAGAAAGTTGGCGCTTTCGTCCAATCAGCTCCGGGCTTCTCCAGACGGGACAGTCTTCCGGCTGGCCAATCGCGACGCAGAGATCCTAAGGAAGCTTGGGGTGAAAGAACTAATAAATACTCCAGAGCTGAGTTTCCTTTCACTGCAAATCAAGAACAAGGAGAAATCATCCCCGTCGCCTGCCACTCAAGCCGGGCGAGATCAATGCGAATTTCTCCTAGGGGAAAGGGCCGTCCGTTCGCAGTTTTCTCCAGCCAGCTGAAGCCGTTGCGAATCCCTCTTTTTCGGACAAAAACTTTTCCCTCCCGCTCTTCTCTCTTTCTCCGCCACATTTCCCCTCTAAGATACCTCTGACAGAAAGGAGAGCAGAGCTTCCCTTCCCCCCTTCCTCAAGTTGGACCCCCCTCCCTTTCCGACCCCCCCTCACGTTTTCAATCCCAATCTCTCTAGATTTTAAATTAACCCTCCCCCTCCCCTTATCCTATGCGGACTTGCTCTCCACGTTGACCTACCTCCCCCCTTTCCCAAAGCCCCTTCTCAATTCTTGGATATAATACGTGTAAGAAAGCCAAGGTGCCACTAAGATGACAACTCTGGGTGGAGCTGTCCCCAGAATGATGCGACCAGCTCCCGGACAGAATTATCCTCGCAGCGGTTTTCCGTTAGAAGGTAAGACCAGCAAGAGAGTTGGAAAAAAAGGGAATTTTAAAAATAAGAAAAGCGGGGAGCGTTTTAATCCCTGTAGTCTTCGTTTTGGGTAAGGGAAGCCGATGAAATGGGTCTGGTTGTGGATCTGGAGCTCCTTGCGTTTCTGGGACGAGTTTGTTAGCGGCGCATAGATCGAGCCAGGGCGAAGAGGAAAACGCTCGGAATGAGCACCCTTGCCAATGGAAGAAAAAACAAGGCCACCGCAGTTCAAGTGGCATACTTCCAAGGAAGCAAATCAGGGATAGGAATAGAGGCGATACACAGCAGCATTTTATATATATATTTATGCTGTGCGTATATATACAAAAAAACATGCGCCAGGTTTTGCTCCCTTTCCCAGAGCCTGCCTGCAAATTTGGATTACTTGATTTGTATCTTGTGTAGGAAAGGGAGAGAAAGAATGCCGGAGAAGGTAGAAATTAGCTGCGCTCCCAACAGTCAATTTCCCTCCTTTCCTCCCCACATTAAATGCCATTGCAAATAATGGATTGCCACCTCCGTATCTCGCAGGTGAAGGAGCCAAGAAACTTTGTAGCCATTTTGAAACAGCGGTTCTTATATTTCTAACTCAGCTAGGGATTAAAAACAAATTTCTTTAGGTAGAAAAGAGTTCGTAGCACCAGGCCTTCTCTTTACTGCTATCTGGTTTCCTCTGGATAATAAAGTCTTGCTTCTAACAATAATTTAATTTTTTGTAGTGCTGTACAGCCGCAATGATTAATTTTCTTACCGAACAATTTCCTTTGAAAGCATACTATTTCAATTCAGCTTCTAATTTCCCCGCCTTTTGTCAAAAATTTAAAAACTTTGTCCAATGTTTTCTTTGTTTAAAGAACTCCCTCCCCCACCTAGAATATTAAAGAGATCTGCCCAAACTCAAACGCAATTTAGTACATTCCGATTTGCAGAGGCATCGTCTGCGTTTCCTTTCCATTTCTTTTGATTCCTAGAAAAGTTTGAGTTGCAGATTCTTTTGCCCTGTTTATTAATACAGGTGAAATGTCTTCTCCTTCTTTGGGTAGTGTGTACATTTGAAGTCATTAACTCGCACGAGAGTCAGGAAAGTGGCAAATCTTTAGCCAGCTGGAGCTCAAGGTGGCAAAACAAACAGTGAGCAACACTATGCAAATTGCTTTGGTAGAAAATGAACGTGTATCTAAGCAAAGGGATAGATGCACAGAGATAGTTTGGCATATTATTTTTAAAAAATTGTTGTTTCCAAGTCAGTTTTCAGCTTCACTGTATTAGATGAATGCTGTATTGATAGTTGTATTCTTATCACAGATTTGTCTAGCAAGTAGAGCAACATTTTTTCTAAACAATTCTAACTACATTTTAAATGGAAATGTAATAGAACCCAAATAGAATTAAAATCTTAATGTTAAAAATAATAGTGGATTTAAATAAGATTCAGCCATGATTAGGGCAGACCAACTAAAATCCATAGACTAAAGTTAGTACTGACTTCAAACCATTTATTTCAACAGGTCCTTTTCTCTGAATAGAACCATTTATGCATTGAAAAGTATTGTACCCTGACCCAAAATTCTCAAATATCTACAGAATTTTAGGTGGTTTTTTTTTTTTTTGGAGATGTAGTAGACAGGCATGGTCCAAAGTAGTACACTTAGAGATTTCATTGTAGACAATTACAAGTTGCTACTTATCACAGAAGTAGCTTTCTATGCTGTCACCCACTGTTTTAATTCAGAAATTATCTCCTCTGTTTTTTGTTTGTTTGTTTGCTCATTTGTCTTCAGAGATGAGGAGATAATTCTTTTATTAGGTCACTTTTATGGTACAGTGCAAGACTGCTGGATTTCAAATTCATATTGAACATAACAGCCTGAAATTTTTACTGAATCTGTCTAGAAGATGAAAGGACTTAGTCAATATAAACTTTAAATAACTCATTTTCAAGGAAGGTTCTTTAAGGTCAGAAACTAAATGGGCTGCCTTCTTTCTGCTAAGAGTACGAAAATTGGCTTGTTCAGTTGCCTCAGTTGAAGTAAATCATCTGGTTTAGCTAATTATGAATATGTGACTCTCATGTTCCAGGAAAAGTATTTTGGATTTGAGTTTCAGGATAATATTAGCTTACCACCATATGGTGAATTTAAGGTCTACTGCTAGTCTCTTATGCTTGTCTCTTATGTTTGTCCTGTGCATTATTCCTCTTCTCTGGAATTTGGCAGGAAGGACATATAGATGTACTTGGCTCATTCCCAAACAAGTACTTTTTTTTATGTTCCCTCTATCCAGTGTCCACTCCTCTAGGCCAAGGCCGAGTCAATCAGCTCGGAGGTGTTTTTATCAATGGCAGGCCCCTACCCAACCATATTCGCCACAAGATCGTGGAGATGGCCCATCATGGCATCCGGCCCTGCGTCATCTCCCGCCAGCTCCGAGTGTCTCACGGCTGTGTCTCCAAGATTCTCTGCAGGTACCAGGAGACAGGCTCCATAAGGCCAGGGGCCATTGGGGGCAGCAAACCCAAGGTGAGTATCTCAGAAGACAGTCACCTTACTTTAGAACAGGTTAGCTTGGCTCAGTTAGCATGGAGGTCAATGTTTCTTGCAGAGTATACAGTTAATCTGGCACTTTTGAAGAAGGTCAACCACCTTCATCTCAGCTTCTCTTTTTCTAGCTTTCTTTATTGTGGGTTGTCTCAGTCCCTCTACTGGAGGTATATATGGGTAGTTTGAAATCCCGCAGACTCTCTCTCCTACATAATTTCATCCTAAACATAATTTTTTTGCAATGGGCAAGAAGATATGGTGGGGGGGGGGGGAATTAACTATAGCAAATTACTATGAGGTCCAATCAGGTTATCAGTTGTAGAGATGAAGGTGATCAGTAGGGTCCCTTGACCAGGTTGGAAACGTACTGGCAAAATATATCAGACATGTCATTTGTCAGTCTCTAGCATGAGAGGTCCAATCTATGAGGACAAAGCTTTTGGTTAGCAGGGCATTATGAGCACAGAGTGGGAGTAACAATTTGGATAACACAGTGGCAGGTCTTTTGGTCCAGCTAGGGAAGGGTAATTTTCATGAGGAGAACTCTGTAGTGAACCCCAGACTGGGTTTCCATATTAGTCTGGCATTTCAGTTTAGCTCATCTGTTTTGGCTTGTTCAGTGCTCACTGTGCCACTGAAAACTGAATTTGGCATAAGTGTAGGTAAGTGTACTTTGCAAACTTAGCCCTTAGGGATTCCTCAGAATATTGTGGAAAGAGGCTTAAGCCAAACAGATCCGCAGAGTTACTCAACAATGCAACTTGTCCTCCCAACCACTTCCACACATGGTGGAAAGCTTGCATGCACCTTCTGAAGTCAACAGAGCTGATTATTTAGACTTTCTCCTCCATCCTTGAAGAGGACCGAGAATACAGAGTTCTCCTTTGCCTAGCTGGACTTGTACATGGGGGTGGGGCATATCTCCTTCCTAGCCTTAAAACTCCTTGGCTTACTAGTCGCTATGCAAAACGACCCTTTCTTTTCACTTGTTTCCTTTGTAGAGCTGTTCAGAGAATTTGTGTAGGTCACCCAATCCTAAATTAAGAGACTTAGGTGAGCCCGATCTGTTTCCCACAATCTGTTGGTCACTAACCCTGCCGGAATGTTTCTGAGAAACAGCATGGAAATTAGATTCCAGAGAAGCCCAAAGTTTCCCTTTCCTTTTCAGGGCACTTGTGGATTCTCAAGGCAGTGGGGTCTGTTTTTGCTACAGCGACCTCAACCAAAACCACCACCCAGACATCCAACAACGAATGCAATTCTAAGATCATTACTTAATACTAGTTAGAGCTTGACAGTGAGTGTGCAAGCAAACGTGACTGATAAGTATGGGTTAAACCAAAGTGAAACTATACTTTCAGATTTTCTTTTTCTGTAATCCAGTTTTCACTAAGCTGCTGCAATTCCATCTCAATTCTAAACAGATTTGGGGTTAGTGGACATAAATACCAATTGGAATAAGTAGTTTACTTTGTAGTTACTTGCTTTGGAATGAAATATTTATGACATGAAGATGTATATATTTTGTAACATTTATATATTTATACATTTAGAATGTTACCCAAATGACCAGCCAAATTATGAAGTAGATTTACACTACAGCAGACTTTTCTTAAATAATATTTTGCATGATTCACGTGAACACAGAAAAACGCAGCCTCTGCTTTCCCTTTTCTGGGAAAAAAAATTTGCGATTGCTTTTGTTCAGCGAAAGTTTTATTTCATTTTCAAAACTGTTTTCTTAATAACATTTTTATATCATTAGTTAAGTGGGATTTTTCTCTGTGTTGACTCTTCTTTACCCCACCTTTGAATATTTTAATTATATTCCCTTTTGGCTTTGCATTCAATCTTTATTGGTTTAAAAGAAACGTTTAATTTTATTGAATATTTTGGGGATGGGATTGAGTGCCAGTTAATTTTCCTTTGACCCCTTTTGTGAGAATAAACCACATATTTCTTTCTTCTTTTCTTAAGTAAGACTAGTTCTCGATTCTTAACTTCTCCGTCCCCGCATTAACGAGTGTTGTTTTCATCCGTCTTGCTAATTTTAAACGGTCCTCCCTGAATCATACCGTATTCTTGACTTCGCTGCTTTAGGCCAGGCAGGCGTCCCAAGCTCCCCTTTCAAAACGGATGGCGCGAAGTCTTGTCCAGATAGGCTCCTCAATGTTGCGCTGTTTTGCTCTGCACCGCCGAACCTCGCCTTTTTGCTACCTCCCTTTCTCCGTCGCCTCTTGCCTTTCGCCCCTTCCCTTCCTTTCGCCCTTCTTCTATCGTGCTCCCCCCCTTGCCGCCCCCCCACCCCCCCGGAATACAAACCTTGTTTCCTTTCTGGATTGCTTTTATTAAAGCAGGTGACGACGCCGGATGTTGAGAAGAAGATCGAGGAGTACAAGCGGGAGAACGCAGGCATGTTTAGCTGGGAGATCCGGGACAAATTGCTGAAGGACGGCGTGTGCGACAGAAATACCGTGCCTTCAGGTAAGTCTCCCGGGAAAGCTAGTTCAGACCGTAGCCTGGGAGTTCTGCACCCTACCCTACCCGTCCTTCTCTAGCTCCAACGGAATACTTGCTGCTTCCTTTAGCGGTCTGAAAAAGACGGGGTATGAATGGAAGCTTGGTGCTTGCTTTTTAGTCTTACCCTTGAACTTAAAGGGTATACTTGGGAGGGACCCTGCTTAGAAATAAGCCGCTTGGAAAAGGAAGCCCCCGACGTCTAAATGGGACCACAGTTCACCCCTCCCCACCCCCGGGGGGGGGGCTCACCAGACCCAGCCTAACTGGGGATGCCCAGGCCGGTTTCCGCAGGTCAGAAGGGAGCTCGGGGGTGGGGGGGGTTCGGATGGCCTTGAAGGGGAGGGTCGCGAAAGAACGATGAGGTTTGGGAAGTCGCACTTGCCCAAATCCATTCAACGCTGCGTTCGGCTCTTCCTGATTTCAAGCCCAGGGGATGAGTGGGGGGGGGGGGGGGGGGGGGAGGGGGGGGGGGGGGGGCTACATTATTGACAGTGGTGCATGTTCCCCTTTCCCCTACACACACACACACACACATCCCGCCATCGGGGGATGAATGCGGAAAGCCAGGCTTTATTTTAATGGTAGCAGATGAAAGGGAAGGGCGAAAAGGCGGTGAGGTCCTAACTAGGCGGTGCAGACTGGGTTCGGGTGGTGGAGGATAGGAGGACCCACGAGCTTCGCTTCCTGGGCACATCTTCTCTACCCAACTCATACACCCGCGTGATCCGGTAAACCACCGTGTGGCCACTTGTTTCTACGCGGCATGAGGCTCGTTTTTTACTTCACACCCGATCATGTGAAGCTTTCGTTCCTTCCCTTCCTTTCCTCGAAGGCTGGGGCAGGATCGTGTGGGAGACCGGCAGTTACTGCGTGTGCAGCTACCTCCGCACGAGTGTTTTTGCTTTTCACTTATAGTTCCAATATTTTACGTTAGCCAAGATCCCTTCTGGGTCGTTGGTCTCTGGAGCGCTGTTGCGGTCTCAATCAGTCTGGTACAAGACTTTCCAATCTGCACCTAACTACCAGTTATTAGAAGAAATAATGGAGGGTAAAAGAGGGAGAAGCAAAAAAGGAAAAACAAAACGGGAGGGACTTGTTTGGTGGTGACCTCTTGTTCTCGAAAAGAAACCAAGAGATCTACTGGTATACAATATATCAGAAAAAGAAATGGTCTTCATTTCCATCTCCTTCTAGGAGGATATCAAGGCTATCTCGAGGTACTTCCCTTCTCAAAAGTAATACTGTCTTGTGGCAACAACTACGCTTTAAGGTTTTTTGTTTTGGAAGTTTAGGGCAAATCTTTTCAAGGCAGTTTTCTTTTTCTGGGCACCATTAAAGACTTGGGTGAGGGGTCCCTAAACTTGGCAACTTTAAGACTTATGGACTTCAACATGGCTGGAGAATTGTGGGAGTTGAAGTCCACAAGTCTTAAAGTTGCCAAGTTTGGAGACCTCTGGCTTGAATTCTTACAAGGGTACAAATCATGTACTGTGTACTACAAAGAATAAAGCTTAAAATACAGAGAGGACAACTTTTCTAAGAGCGATGAGTAGGGACCTGTTTGAAGCCAATTTGGTGCAGTGATTAAGACTCCAGGCTAGAAATCAGGAGATCGTGAGTTGTAGTCACGCTTTAGCCAGGAAGCCAGAAGGATGACCTTGGGCCAGTCACTCTTTCTCAACTTTACGAAGCAGGCAGTGTCAAACCACTTCCCAAAACTTTCCAAGAAAACCGCAGGGACCGTTAGAAATCATTCGACTGAAATCCCCAAAAGTGGTTAGGGATTTGCGGGTGAAGTGCAGGTAAGATCACAGGGCTTGCGAGTCGCTCCGGTTCTGCAGCTTGGAAGAAGACTCTGCCGTCTGAAATGGCTTGGAAGGAATCGCGTGTCCCTCGAGCTGCTCCTCCGCTAATTTAAGAACTAACTGCTTCAAGTCTGCAAAACTGCGCTGCTTACTTCAATATCTTTAAAGAACAAGTATGCCAATCTTTGCTTTTTCCTAACTTGGATGACCCGTTACTCTTTTTAAACAAAAGCAAACCTTTAGTACCTGTAGTAGTAGTAGTAGTGCCGACATGTTTCTCCTCCTCCCGCCCCGGGGATGGGCAATTCGCCCAGTTCTTCAGTGCATAGATTTTCCTTTCCATAGTTGCGTTCCTGTAACTCGCTTGCTTCTGCGGAACTTATCCATGGGTTTTCCATTAACACGCGTTTCCCTGATTGGCTCCACAGGTTAAATTATAAATTAGTCCCATGGATTGTCGTCGTAAAACACATCAAGGTCAAACTTCGCAGCCTCGGGCCCGCGTTCATTCATTCATACGACCCATGTAACCGAGTCGCTTGAAAGCATCGCCCGTTGCGTTGGACCCACAACACGTCCAGGGAACAAATTCAACTCCCTCGGTTGTTTTAGGGTTCAAACTTGCGTGGCGAGTCAGAGGATACTTTGATCCAATAACTAGCCGAAAGAGGATCTTTTGCAAACTAAACCAGCTTGTGAGCTCCCCCTCGAGTTATTAGAAACGGGGGCGGGAGCGGGGGAACCAATTATAAAAGATCGGGAAACTGCAACCAGAGGACTCGGCACAAGTCGTTGTTTCCAAGCATCTTCTCAGTTCTCTTATGTATCCAAGAAGGACTTCAACACCCCAGCCCGGCTTCTCCCGATTCCCCGCTTCACGCTTCTCTTTCCTCTTTCTTTCTCAAGTGAGCTCCATCAGCCGCATTTTGAGAAGCAAATTTGGGAAAGGAGAAGAAGAAGAAGGGGAGCTGGAGCGTAAGGAAGCGGAAGAGAACGAGAAAAAGGCCAAACATAGCATCGACGGCATCCTCAGCGAAAGAGGTAAAAGTCGGTCACCTTCCCCGGGCTTGGGGGAGGGGAGGGCTGGGGGGGGGGAGAGGGCGATTGCCTTGCAGAAAAGCGCGGCCAGACCTCGGAGGGTCCGAGGGGGTTTGACTCCCTGGGATGTATCGCGAAAGAGGTCGCTGGATTATCTGCATGGTGGGGACCGCTGTTGCAGGTGGGCGCATCTGGCTGTTTTCCTTTTCTTTTGCATTGGAGCGGTAAGGGAGGCTAGTAGAGCTGAATGAATTGGAAAAACCTAATTGCGGGGACCAGACCTAGGAAACTCCGTGACTTTCTGGGGACCCATAGGATGTGGGTTGCAAAAAATGCCTCTTGGAGGTGAAGATTTTAGCAGGGGTAATTGAGTCAACTTGGAAAACTTTTCAAAGATGGTGAACAGTGGACCAATTGAAAAGCACGCTTGCAATTGTCTGCCTCTCTGTTTCTCCTGTGGTAGATGTCAGTCTTAAGGATCCAAACAAGAGAACTTACACAACATTATCTCTCTCTCTCTCTCTCTAAAAAAGAAAAGAATTTAGTGCCACTTCAAAAATGATTATGTCCTGCACCAGGCTTCACTTCCTCAGTTGTGCAGTCCAGCTCTCCAGATCTAGGGAGAGAAATTTTCAGAAATGGACTGTGCCTAAATCTTCATTTCAGTTGGTGTTAGACAGATTTTAATCCTAGTTAAGTTTTATCCTGTCCCTTGATTTCTAGGAAATTCTAAAATTATTCTAGAAACTAGAAGAAACACACTTGGAAAATGAAAACCTTACTGGTATATTGTGGTGAAAATATCCTTCTTGGTTTTGTGGATTCAAAGTCAATGTCTTTTGGTGCCATAATGAAGCAGACAGATTTTCCTAACATAGATAGTGAGTACAGGTTTCTTAGAAGGGATGGAAGCTCCAGGGGGAAAGGAAAGAAGCATTTTAATAATAGTCAACAACATTTGAACTGTTGTTCAATGATTTTAAGACCTGTTTTAATCAGTGTGGCTTAATTAGCAGAGAACGTGGAAGAAACTAGGTCCATTGTTTAAGGTAAAATTCAAAGTTCATTGATCTTTTCTTTTATTCAGTTCACTTTCTGAGTCTAGAATCCAGGAAGGATGTCCCATTAAATGCAATGAAACGTATTTGTTGGGGTGCAGCCAATAAATTGACTCTGTTGTTGAGATGGGCTGCCATAGAACTCAACTCAGTTCAACTCAAATCAATCCATTCATGAAATGTTACTTTACTACTGATGAACAAGTTCCAGTCCCCCCCCCCCCAAATGCAGTTTATTAATTATGACTGCTTCTTTGTAAATATGTGTCAGCACAATTAGTGGAAGCTAACTTGGAGCTACTTAATTTTTCTAGATGTAATAATAGACATGCTACTATTACATTTATATTCACGTTTCTTCATCCTAGCAAGTAAAGGTTGCTGCTGTAAGGTCTCTTTCTGGGGGTAAGCCTTTTCCCACACAATCAAACACAGCAATATTGATATACCACACATACCTGGCATTGACTAAACTGATTTCTGGATTCTTACAATACAGTCAACAATAAATGGACCAAATGAATGGGATCGGCATTCTAGTCTTCCTCTCCCACCTGAATATCTAAACTAGGTTAACCGTCACCAAGCATAGCATGTTCTTGTACCAATGCGACTTTTGGGACTTTGCCCCTCTATGACTGGCAAGTTAGTGAATGCAGCCACCCAGATTTCTTTACGAGTAATTGATAGCTTTGGAAATCTCATGAGCTGAAGCAGTTTTGTTCTTCATTTCTTGAGAGAAGGAACTTCCTTGGTAACATGTAGACGTCTGATCTGAAAGGCATACATCCAGAGTATATTTCCAATATTCATGGAGAAAAATATGGGATGAAGGTAATAATTCCACTTTGTCTAAAAATCATGGTAGAAATATTGAATTACTTACATTTACTGTATGAAACAAACGGCTTGCAATTTTGCTGGCTCATACTTGAAATGGGAAGTGTCCTGAACTTTGGTAGAAAATGTTGCTTTAGAGGGAAGATAAATACCTGCAAGAAGATAAGGATGAAGTTCTGCCTTTTCTCTTTCTCCCTTTTTGCAATTTTCAGCTCTCACAGTATACAATTGTTATTTGTGAACACTTTGCAATCTGGAGGGAAAAAAGGCTCCTGATGCTGGACAAAGCAGGGCGGGTGGGTGGGGGAAGAGGAAGGTTCCTTGTCTGAATTCTTTGTGAAAAGCTAGTTGCTCAATCGTGTGGCTGGATCTGTTGAGACCCATCCCTCTATGTCCTTAAATCAGGGCAGTATTTGGGGTTAGTCAAGCTGAAGTCATTAAATAAAAAGGGGCCTGTCTAGGAAGGGAGAAGGAAAATCCTTGGGAGAAGGTCGTGATCCTGCCCCTTTCCCCGAAGGGCTTCAAGTCAAGATGCTGTCAGCTGTGGCCTGTTTGAGAAGCTGCATTGACTACAACTTCAGTGAAAACTATTTTTAAGGGAATGCGTTTGTGGTTGAAATACACCTCAAGCGCAGAGCAAGACTTTTCTATCCCAAGCAGTTTTGATGCCTTTCTGATAAACATTCTAATTTTTCACAGTATCTTCGCAAAAATTGAAACCTGAGAGAGAAATGATAGCTGTACAGTAGACTCTAGGCAGAGTTTATACATCCCATTTATTTCTAGGGTGATTTGCTTCTATGTATGGGTTGGTTTGTAAATTCAGAAACATGTGAACATTTACAGAGTGTAAATAGATTAAGGAATATCCCAGTATTCTGAAGATATGGACTGCCTTCTCTATGCATGTTTGCTCCAAGATCCAGCAACAAACAAACTTTTCAAATTAAAAAAAAAATAGTTTTATTTGGAAGTAATGTTGACCAACTTAACTGCATAGAAATGTCTTCTGGATCAAGTATGATAGATTTAATTTCTACACATTTGTGCATGAGTTTGTATTTAAGTGTGTTGTGTTTTACCGGCTAAGTGAAGAGGAGGCTAGTCAGTCTATTTCTGTCCATAATGTTTCCTTTTGTTGATATTATAGGTAGTAGGTTTACAAGAACTTGTTGCCTAGGTTGGCAGTCTGCTGCCGCCAATGTTCTGTGTGACTTGTTGTCTGAGGTTCTCTGACAGTCCTCCTCTAAAGTTTGCCCTTCACATCTACCATAGGCCCAGAACAGGAGACAAAAGTACCAAATGAGCTGGTCAAACATTTGTACAACTTTTCCAGCTTTTACAAAGAAAGCCTTCTATACACAATCTACACTTGGAGATGAACTTGGAAAACAAAGACGGGAGAGTCCATTGAAACTCACACTTTAGCTCTGGCCAGACAAAGGTTCAGCTAGCAGCAGCTTGATATGGACAAAAGAAGGCACCCTTTTTATAATTCAAGGAGAAAAGAAGAGAAAACAGTCTTCACAATAGGGCCCAGAAAAGACATTATGGGCTTGCAATGAGGGATGAATTATTCAATGAGTCCCAATGGCTGATGCTCTGAGGAGTTTTATGGACTCTCCACCGTGGAAAAAGTGGCTATTTTCACCTACAAAATGTTTCTAGCCTTTCTAGATGGCTAGAGATGCCGACAGCCATTCAGGATAGACAACTGAAACCATTCTTCAGGACTATAGTATCCCTTTGCATTGTAAAAGCTAAAAAGGAAAGAAGGGCAGGAGGGAGGACAAACACCCTCAAGACTATTAGAGATTTAAGAACTGCATCTTCACAGAGGCTCAATGTATATGAAGGAAAAAAGAAAGATCACAAATTCACACAGAGGAATATTATGTCAGCACGTTTTGTTTTGATTTTTGTTTTTTTGTTTTTTTGATTTGGCAAATAACAGAATGTCATGTCCCGTATTTATGCAAGTTATGTACATCATTCTCTTTATTATTATAGACCGAAGAATTTTTTTTAGTTCTGTCTCCTACTTTGTATAGTTGTGGTCACTGTTTAGGCAGCTTTTTTTTTTTTGCATGAAAGTAGATCACTATTAATATATCTTAATAGCGGGAAAATGTGTTGAATGAGGACTGGATTAAGAAAGAAATGATTCATGTTAATTGGCAATGTACATTTTTTAAAGTGGCCTCTAATATAGATTCCTTGGTTGCAGTTCATAAGCAACTTAAATGGAAGGACCTGCCTTTATTTTTCTTTCTCAGTCTCTCAGGTTTGAACACACACATTTGAGAATTCGTTTTATTGATTTTAAATTAAATTTCTCCAACTTTTAGCTATTTCCATTAAAAATAATGGAAATAATTTGTATCTCCATCTTTTCCTCTCCTCCATTGCTGTTTTCATTTCCTTCAGTATATTTATTTCAAAATATTTTCTTTTAGTACTTCATGATGCTTAATCCTAAAACTGAGGTGCTTCAAGCTGCAAACAATTTTTGTTTTGAATTAACTTTAATTGTAAACATAAGAGAGTTTGTTTCTATTTGTTTTGCCAATATGGGCAGAATAAATGGAAATTCTTGTTAGTGCAAAACTGAAAATGTAACTTTTTCCCCTTTTGTTTGCTTCTGCTTGAAGGGTAATTTTAACATCTATTTTAATTGTGACCACAATTACTAACAATGATAAAAATAGCAACACAAGTTTATTAGTAGTATAAAATATTTTTGAGTACTTAAAAGAATGGATATTAAAGAATTTGAACATCATGTTCCAGATGATTTTTAAAATAATTATGCCGCATGAGCTTTTTCTGGAATACCAATGAAATGGAAATTGCATCTAAGCACTTGCACTGAACTGCGGTTTATCATTACTTGTTAGCTGTGCTAATTTTGTTGATGAAGACAATTATTAGTTAGTACTTATTAATGGAAATTCCACCTATCAACTTGAGTTTTGCAGGGGAATTGTATGGAAAATATATGCTAAACAAATTGCAATAAAAGCTCCTACATGCATTTTGGAAATAACTCACATGAAATACAAACAGAGAGAAGATATTTTTTTAAAAAAATACACATTTCAGTTT